ATTAATCCAGGCTGCGCGGGAACACAAGGCTTGTGTCACTTGCATTGTGAACAACACGAGGTAGTGAGCGGAGGGGAGAAAGGGTGGACACGAGGCCATGCGCCTGGCCTGACCACTGGGCTGTTTCTCTCCGCTTCTTTCTGCTTTTGGCTAAATGCAACGAAAGAAGCCAAAGTCTTTCTCTCCCCCAAACTCCACCAGAAATGAGTCTTGGGGACCCTGCAAGGTCTCCTGCTCCAAGAGGCTGCGCCAGTACGACAAGTCTCACAGAGACTCCTTTCTGGTGGAGTTTGGGGGAGAGAAAGACTTCTGCTGCTTTCCTTGCATGAAACCAAAAGTCTCTTTCTCCCCTCTCCCTGAGAACAGAGCTGGAGACAGTATCCTGTGATCCCAAATAAAGAATGATCAGTAGGAAAACAGGGTGGGTAATTTTCCTGCGGACTTTTTTGGGGATTTTCCCAGGGTCTCTGGTCCGTGGGATTTAAAATTATGAGTTCCCTGAGGTCCAAAAGGTTTGCAACCCCTGGGCTAGAAGACCCCCAAGGTCCCTTCCAACTCTGATGTTCTGTTTTAACCACTCTCCCCCCAATGTGAAATCTGAAGGCTCTCGTGAAAGGTCAGCAGGGTGGAGCCCCCTTCACATGGGGGGGGGGGAGATCTTCCAAAGGTCAACAGCAGAGAGAACGTCCTTCTCCTGGAGCCCACCAGCTGGAATACCCTGCCCGATGGGGCACATGGCATAGCTCCTATGCCTGTTGTGGTTCGCTGGCAGCCAGTACAGATGGCAGCAGAATCGGACAGTGGGGAAGAAAGGGGATCAGTCCAGGAGTCTGGCGAGGACTCGGATGAGGGTCCTGCATCCGATGCAGAGATGGGGCCAGGACCATCTGGGAGTGGGGTGCTGACTCAGGAGCCTCTGGAGTCTGGCAGCAACAAGGCCAAGGAACAAGGGGAGCCTGTTCCCAGTGCGCGGAGCTGCCAGAAGGTGAGCGCAGCTGAGGCAAAAGGGGCGACTCAGGAGTAAGGCTGGGAGGCGATTACCTTTCCCATAAGGGATAAGTCAGGCCAAGGTGATGAAACCTTTGCAGGAAGCAAAGTCATTCCTTCGGTTCTCGAAACTTGGTCATTTTTTTTCTAGTTCATTGGACACTTCTCTTATTGGCAGCGCTTCACGGGAAAGGTGGTTGCTTATCTTGATGGACTATTTGAGATTAATTCCAGCTGCAAATGAAAACAATTCCCAGCATTGCAATAAAATAGAACTTTTTAAAATAAGCGTGTGCGTAATTATGGTCTAGGAAGCCTGGGTCAGAACAGTACTGGCATGGGGGGAGGGGGGCCCAATCCCAGTGGGAAGACAACAGAGCCAAGGTATGGACAAAGCTTCTTGGACTCCCGTGCATCTATCCACCCCAGAGCCCAGAAGATTTGGAAGGAAATCAAGAATTTGCAAATGTTTTCAGCCATTCCCACCTGCTTTCCAGCGCTCACTGGCTCATGGCGTCATCATCATCCGAGTCACAGAGGCTGGTGGTCTCCAGCTCGCTGGTGAGCAGCATGGAGGAGCTCTTGTAACTGGCCAGGTGGCGCTTCAGCCGGGATTGCCCGTTGATCCAGTGCCCACCTGAGTTGGAAGGGGAGGAGGGCGTCAGAGCAATCCACCCCGCCGGGACTGGGCCTCCCCACCTGCCTTCCCCCAAGGAAAGGGCCAGAAGATTTCGGGAAGGGGTGGTTTACCTCTGTGCTTCGTGGTCTCCTGGTGCCGTGGCCGCTCTCTCCACAGCGACACGATGGACTCGGTTTCGTGGTCCAAGTTCTCGCAGCTGCCCAAGAGGTTTGGGTTGCAGAGGAAACCTGTTGGGTATAGGGGTGAAGGGGCCGGAGTGGAAACTGGGAGATGGTGAGTTGTAGTCCCACCTCAGGCATGAATGCTGGCTGGGTGACTTTGGGCCAATCACCAGGAGTTCTAGTTCCCCAGAAAACCAGCTGGAGAAAATAGAAGCAGCAGCATTAAATATGATTGCCACACCTTGAGTTCCTTATAAAGCAATATGTGGAGAATAAAAATCTAACAATAAATAAAAGCAAGAAAAACTAAAGTACTTCTGAAGAAAGTTAGCTCAGATTTTCCTTGTTAGCCCCCCCCCCCAAATTACACCACCCCTGAACTTAACAGCCATCCTAGGCTGGATTAGTCCCCCTTTTTAACCCCACCATGAAGAAACACACAAACACACCAGCCATTCCTACTCACTGGAAGGAAGGAGGGATTTGCCGATGCCGCTGGTCTTTTATACTGGCAACAGAGGAGGTGGGAGGAGGTGGGGGAGAAGGCTCCTGACAGACCTTGCCTGGAGCGGGAGGTGGCAGTTCGGATGGGAGGACCTCCGAAGACACCAGCTGGGTGGGGGGGAAAGGGGAGGGGGAGAGAGAGAGGTGGGGTGGTGAAGGTTTCCCTCTGGCCCTTCCCCTCCCTTCCCTCCTGCTGGATCAGGCTGTCTCCCCTGTCCATTTAAGTCAGCTCAGAATAGATAAGACACCCCCCCCCCAATATCCCAGACTTCGAGGGCCCAGAAGGCTCCACTGTGGAGTACCCCTGAGACCCTCATACCCGGCAGGGAGAGCAAGGGGCTGGCGTACCCAGGAGACAACTCTTCCATTGAAGCAGGGTAGGAGAGCGCTGTCCTCTGTGATCTCCTCCTTCACCACCCTGCAAAGAAAGGGAATTTGGGGGGGGGGGGGGGAGAGAAGGAAAAGGATACTGCTGGGGTTCCTCAAGATCCAGAAGGCGGGCTTCATGGGGGCTCTCGCCAGCCTAATGTGCCGGGGAGGGGGGGTTTCCATAGGCCCCCCAAAGCTTTGCATGATCCCCCCCTATTTCTAGAGAGGCATAAAAGAGGATCTTGTTCCCTCTTTCCCATGAGGGTCCCTTCGAAGGACCAGAAGATGGGCCCTGGGGTGGGGGAGGCTTTAACCTCTCCGTTCTCTCCTTGGGGAGGGATGCATGGGCTCCCAACCCCTGGAGAGTCCAGAGAGACCGAAAAAAGAAGGCCTCATGCCCACCCCCACCCCCGACTGGGGTCTCCTCGAGGTCCAGAAAACAGGCCCATGGGGAGGAGCTCTTACGTGGGGGGCGGGATGGTGCATGGGTTCCATGGCTGCTCCGGGGCGTCTACGATTCCCGCCCCCCCCATGAAAAGCCGGGCCTCCTCCTCCTTCCAGCCACGAGGGGTTCCCTCGAGGTCCAAAAGACGGGCCCGCGGGGGGGAGGGGCCTACCGGAAGTCCTGGTCCATGCTCTTGAAGAAGTACTTGGCGCCAGGCCGGGCTAGGGTCGCCTTGACGTGGCCGAGGTTGAGGCGCTCGGCCGGCACGGCGATCTCGACCAGGTAGGGCGTCTCCTCCTCGTCCAGGTGGTAGATCACCTTCATCTCGGCCGCCTGGGGGCCCCCGCCCGCGGTCGCCATGGCGACTCCGGAAGGGGGCGGCCCGCGGGGAGGGGAAAGGGGCGGGAATCTCTCGGGTCTCGCGGCGGCGGAGAAAGGGCGGCAGCCCACCTCCCTTTTCCCTCCCTCCCTCCCGTGCGTCACGACGTCATCACGCAAGGCCACGCCCTTCCCCCCCCCCCGAGCGGCGCACGAGAACGCGTTCGCTCCCTCTCGGCGCGCATGCGTCACCGCGCACGACTCCGCCCAACGGAGCGGCGCGCCACCACCCTCTCTTCGGAGCGCATGCGTTGTATTCGCCGCCGAGAGGAGCGCTTTCTAGCGCGCGTGCGTCACGTTCAGAAGCCCGCCTCCCGGGAATCCTCCTGCCGCCCTCCCTCTTTCCCCCACCCCCTCTAGTGCGCATGCTTCATAGGCGTGCCGCTTTCGCCTTCCCTCGTTGTAGGGCGCATGCTTCACAAGCAACACTCCGCCCCGGAGAATCGTCTTATCTCCAATTACACGACTCAGCCCCCCCCCTCCGTCTCACCCTCTGGCGCACATGCGCTCAGGCAGCGCTCCAGCGCTCCGCCCCGGAGTCGCCCCACAGCTATCTCTCGGTGCGCATGCGTCAAATATCCGACCTCGCCCCCTCAAGGCATCCATTTGCCCTAACTCCGACGCAAATGAATCACACCTTTCTTTACCGCGCATGCGTCACACGCACCACCCCTCCCTCCAAAATCATCTCACCGCCCCCTACGTCATCGCGCAAGACCACGTCCCCGATGCCCGTCCAACCGCCCTCTCGCTCTTGCAGGGTCACGTGGCCGAGTCAGTAGCGAGCGGGAGACGCCGCCGGAAGTGGCTGCCTCCTTCCGCGTCACTTGGGCAGAAGCCTGCGCATCATGCCGTTCCAGGACACTTGCGCGATCAGAAGTAACACTCCCATGCCAGGGCAGTCTACTTGCTTATTCTCCATCCCCCATCCCCCCCCAATCAATAAAAGCCGAGGCCGCTGTAGAAACTGTGAAAGGGCTTATATCTCTTTATTTACAATCGAAAATTCTGCCATGTACACCTCTGCAAATATTAAAACAAAAAAGGGGGGTTGCCCCCTTTGGCCTTCTCAGATCCCCCCCAACACACACAAAAAAAATCAACCGAGGTTTCAAACCTGAGTCCACAAAAAAAAAATCAGGAGCACAAACGGGGGGGTGTTTTAAAACCTTCCCACCCAAGAAACCTACCTGGGTGTGTGTAAAGAAACCAGGAAAATGAACGAAAAAAAAAAAAAAAAACAATAAACACTGTCTTCTATTTACAAAGGTGGTGGAGCAGGACAAGCAGAAGAAGAGAATTCAAAAGGAAATCAAGACTCCATGTTACACCTCCCCCCTCTCCCCCAAGGCCCAAGAGTGAACAGAGGACCTTCCCGCCCACCCGAGTCCCCTGAGCAGGAGAGAGGGCTGGGGTGGGGTTTAAGGCCAGGAGGGCCCACTGCAGCCTAGCCAGGATCAACCAAGCGCTGGATTCATTGCTGTTGCCACTTCCACTGGACCACCGTGTTCCCCCCCCACCCCCATTCAAAGGGGATCCCAATCCAGAGCAGCCCCCCCCCCCTTTTTTCTCTCTGCTCCCTGTCCAGAGTCTGGTTTTTATTTGTTTTCCCCTCTGCGGGACGAAAGCCCAACCGAGAGCTGCAGGTCACCCCCCCCACTCCTGTGCTAGGGCTCCCCCCCGCCTGCCCGCGACACCAGGGGGGACATTGCGCTGAGTACCGTGGGGATCTGAGGGGCTGGCAGCACCTGCTTCCGCGAGCTTTCTTTGCATTTCTGGCAAAAGAAAATGTCAGGGACATTGGTCTTCTTGATCTTGGCGCAGGAGAGGTGGATCCAGGTGCCGCACTGGTTGCATTCGATCATGGGCCGCCCAGCGAAGGGCTTCTGGCAGTAGCAGGTGATGAGGTCCCACGAGTCGTCGCCTGGAGAAGAAGCAAAAATGGGGACATTGAGAAAGGCAGCCTCCCCCCCAGAAGAATTACAAAGGAACGATTGAGTCCGTCATCTGCACCTCTATCGCTGTCTGGTTTCGTTCTGCAACCCAACAGGACAGACACAGACTCCAGAGAGTAATTAGGACTGCAGGAAAAATAATGGCTACCAACCTGCCTTCCATCGAGGACCTGTATACTGCACGAGTCAAAAGAGGGCTGTGAAAATATTTACAGACCCCTTACATCCCGGACATAAACTGTTTCAACTCTTACCCTCAAAACGACAGTGTAAGGCACTGCACACCAGAACTACACACAAGGACAGTTTTTTCCCAAACACCATCACTGCTAAACAAATAATTCCCTCAACACTTGTCAATCTATTTACTAAGTCTGCATTACTATTACTATTAATCCTCCCATCCTTCCTTTCACCCATCTCCTCCCACTTGGGACTGTATTTGTTGTGGCTCGGAGGTTTGAGCCTGCTTTGTCAGAGGTCGAGGACTTGGTAAATGAGGAAGAGGAGGATTTGGCTCTGAGGTTTGAGCCTGCTTTGCTAGAGGATTTGGAATTGCCTTCCTCCCCAGGGCTTTCCTCCTTGGCAGGATCTTCCCCACCCCCCACCCCCCATTGTGCCTCAGGTGTCGCAGATAATCAGGAGAACGTATCAGAGCCGGCTTGATGCGAGGCAACAGCGCAGGCAAAAGTGTAAGTTGCAACGAAAAAGGAAAGGACAAATTACAGACTGAGATGAGGGACTGACAAAGTGGGTGTGTTCGCTCTGGGAGTTTGTTCTGGACGTGTTAATTTGTGAGAGCAGCTCCGATGGATTGTGTGTGTGTGGTGATAGCCTGTGATTTATGTTCTTGCTTTATTATCGGACTTGGCAGACAGCTTGTGTGGGACTGCCAAGAACTTGCCTGGCCAAAGGAATTTAACCCTGTCATTACTGGTCGTGTCTGCTTGTGTATATTCCTTTGGAAACTTGGACTTCTCACTTCATTGGCACAGGTGAGGCATAACATGTATTACTGTAACTTTGTCGCTTGTATCCTTAAAATTTATATTGACAGTTTCCTGGTATGATTTGATTGCTTATTGTAGTCTGAATATTATTAATTGTTGGACCTGAAGATTCGGGACTCTTGAATGTATCTTTTATGTATACTGAGAGTATTTGGACCAAAGACAAATTCCTTGTTTGGCCAATAAAGAATTCTATTCTATTCTGTTCTGTTCTATTCTATTTTTCTATTCTATTCTTTTTTCTAATTTCCATTCTATTCTTACTTCCATTCTCTTCTTGTTTGTTTTCTTCTATTATTTTCTATTCTTATTTCTATTCTATTCTTATTTCTATTCTATTTCATTCTTTATTCTATTCCATTCTTTCATTCCATTATTCTCTTCTCTTCTCTTCTCTTCTCTTCTCTTCCCTTCCCATTTCTATTCTATTTTTATTTCTATTCTATTCTATTTTTATTTCTATTCTTATTCTAATTCTAATTCTATGAAGCACAGACACATTTCAGAAAATGTGTTATCTGCCTGGGCAACCAGTGACTGGACTGCCGTTTTTGTGAAAATGGTATTTCAAAGAATTATTTGCTCAGAATTGGAAAAGTGATAAGATACTGAGAGAGGGAAACGTAATCGAGAAAATATTTCAATGTGCAGAGTGTCAAGCCCGAAATTGACCTATGCGTAGCCATTTTATTTAGCCTTTTTATATATTCCTTTCTTTCTTTCTCTGTGCTGGTTATGGGGTGGGGGGAAGGGTTTTGGGCTTGCCACATTCCTTAGGTGGGAGGAGTGGAGATAGAGTTGTTTAGGCTAGGTGGCTCTCCTTCCCGTGGGAATGAAAGCTGACCCTGCTGAGACTTGGAGGTGGAGATGGATGACATCAGGCAACGTTGATTTACTTCTATTGGGGAATGTGACTTTTGGGGGGCTGTTTCTAACTTCCAATATTATGTGGTATAATTGCGGGTTCGTGTCAGATCTGGAATTACAACAGACTTGCCAAGTTGATGCTTCCCTAAATAAAATAAATCTGTTTTGGAAAGTGGGACTTTACTCTTTTCTTTTTGAAATGGATGTCATCGCTTGGAAACCTGACACAGAGATGAATAGGTTAACCTTGGTAACTAAAAAAAAAGAAGAAATGGAATATTATATATGGTATGGGACTTATTTTTATCAATGGTTGGGAAGTAAAACAAATTAAAATGGAGATGATGAATATATAAATAAGTTAAGATTGTTAAAAAAAATATACTAAATAACAGTTATAAGAAAATGGGATTGTTATATTGATAAGAAAAGTATTAATTATAATGGTTAGCACAAGACATAGGTACCCAGTCGACACACGGTTTGAAATGAAAGATGGAATTATTGTAAATATAAAATAAAATAAAAATTCATTTAAGAAATGGCAAAGGGCAACCCTAGAAGACCTCAGATAACAGATAATCAGAGTCACGTGATCAAAATTGAGAGGCTTGGCAACTGGCATGTACTTATGGCTGTTGCAGTGTGATTTCCCTTTTGCGACCTTCTGACAAGCAAAGTCAGATTCACTTAAAAACAGTGTCGGTGATTTAACAACTGTGGTCATTTGTCGAACGACTGTGGCAAGGAAGGTCGTAAAATGGGGCAAAATTCCCCTAACGATTAGTCTTGCTTAGTAACAGAAATGGTGGTCGTAAGGAGGATGACAGCCTGCGGCCCTGAAAATTCAACAGCAGGACATAAAACGGTCTACTTAATGGCTTTTGGTCCTTAAGTTTTAAGAGTCTCTCCAAGTTTCAAAACAGATACGTGGAAGCTGTTTCAAGAAGATGCTGGACTGCCATTTGTCAGAAATATGGTGTAGTAGGGTCTCCTGCTTGGGTGGGTGGGGGGGGAGGGTTGGACTGGATGACCTATAAGGTCCCTTCCAACTCTGGCATTCTATATTCAATGGAACAGAAGTTGCCTTCGGAAGTTGTGGGAGCTTCATCCCTGGAGGCTTTCAAGAAGAGATTGGACTGCCATTTGTCAGAAATGGTGCAGGGTCTCCTGCTTGGGCAGGGGGTTTGGACTAGATGACCTACAAGCTCCCTTCCTACCCTGGTAATCTGTACATGCACTGAAGATGCCAAAGAGGTGTCTGATTGAACACCTTATTCCTGTCTGAGGGTTCAACAAAGTACACAACTTAATCTACACAATTTTGGAAGGATTCTGTTGAGAGATAGGCGGGTGGTAACGAACTGACATGGATTTGGGCCATAATTGATTCAAAACCTCCCACAAATCTGACAAGAATAGTCAGAAAAATCGCTGTAAGCCACCCAGAGGGGCTTGATACTCTGAAAGAATATATAAATTTTTAACAATTAAGTAAATAAAAGTTGTTCAGATCTTGGAAGGGGCAAGGTAGAGGTGAGGAAACACGGCCCCTTCGTGACTTGTAGACTTCCAACTCCCAGAATTCCTGAGCCAGCCAACATGGGAGTTGCAGATCCACAAGATCTACCATTGAGGGATAAGGGAACCAAAATTTAAAGAAAAAAAACTCAAAAAATGCAAAATATCGCAGCATTAGGCATGTGGATCTGGAATAGGCTTCCAGGGGGGAAACAAGACTTGGCTACACCCTAATGGGGGATTTGTTCAACCTGGGGTCCCATTTTGTGTCCACAGGAGGCTGGGACAGTAACCCAGTTTAAAGAAATCTTAGATTGAAACCAGCTGGGATCTTCCATCTCTCATTCAGCCTATATGAATCTAGGCATACTGAAACTCACACAGCTGAAGATAGTTCACTTATGCACCCATAAACTATCCATTAGAATGTTATTCCTTTATATGAATGATTTAAGGTGGCAAATATACTTAAGCCACCTTCTTCCTCCTATTCTTTCCACCACAACAACCCTGTAAGGTGGGTTGGTCAAAGAGAAAGGGATTGGCTTTCTTGACCAAAGCAGGACTAGAACTCCCAGCCTCCTGGGGATTGTCCCAAAATCACCCAGTTGGCTTTCATGCCTAGGTGAGACTAGAACTCCCAGTCTCCTGGTGATTGGCCCAAAGTCACCCAGCCAGCTTTCATGACTTAAGGCAGAACTATAACTCACCAACTCCCAGTTTCTAACCTGGTCCCTAAAAAAACTAAACTCAAAAATGATTGTTCCACCAAGGTGAGAAAGAGGACACAGAAAGGCAAATTCCTGACTGACGAATCCGAACCATCCCGAGAGGCAGTGTGTGTGTGTGTTTGGGGGTGTGTCATCTCACCTGATTCCACCATGATGTCTTCATCCATGACCCTCATCTCGCCTTCGCTGGAGCTCCCTTCCCCGTCCTGGCTGGTCTCTGTGCTGATGCTCTCCTTCCCTTCCGTGTCCTCCAGCTTAATGGGGAAATTGGTGGCCAGCAGCTCTGGTGGTGCCTGGAATGAGACCCGTGCCGTGGCCGCCCCCACCCCCTCCTCCTCCCCGCTTGGCCGCAGAGGGCCCGCTCCGCCGTCCTCTTCTTCCTCCTCCTCTTCCGAGTCTGTCTCGCTCACGGGGATTTTGTGCTTCGGCTTCTCGCCTCGCTCTGGGTGTTTCAACTTCCGCTTCTTGCTCTTTTTGATGCGTGAGCGCTTCTCGCCCAGCGCCTCGCTCCGGTTGCGCATGGCAGCCCCAGCTTCCAAGGCAGCCTTCCGGTTCCGCTTGTCCTTCTTATCGGCGGGGACTTTGGGCCCGGCGAGTGGGGGCGGCTGCTTCCCCACTGGGTCCAAGTCGAACAGGGAGTCCTTCAGCTTCATCTTCTCCAGCAAGGAGCTGTCGGATTTCAAGCGCCGGAAGGAGGCTTTCTTCTTCGACGACTTGGCCTTCTTGACGAAGGTCTCGATGGTGTGCAGGTCCGACCGCGTGGATTCCCAGCTGTCGCTGTCCACCACACTCTCTGGACACACCGGGGAGTTGGAGCCGGACGGCGTCCAGTCATTCTCCTGCCAGGAAGACAAAAGACAAGATTAGCCCTAATTCCAACCCCGGATTAATGCCCGAGTCCAGATTCCGGGAAAGCAAAGATCTTGTCCCGACACAAATAGGTTTTGATGGCAGGACAGGCTGTCCTTGTGTGATGACCCAGAGAGGCGTGGCACAAAGGTAACCCAGTCAGATAATCAGTAGGAGTCCCTTTATTATCTGCAACTTTGCCCTCAATGTCCAGGTTACCTTTTGGCTGAGGAAAAAACTCTCCCAGGAACAGCCTTTGACTGCAGAAAATTCAGTCCAAAACATGGTCAACATGAACTGTAACTTAAGATCCAAAAAAAAACAAACTGAAGTAGTTAGTTTGACAGGGCAGGACGACTTTCAGACTTGAAAGCCAGGCAAAACTCAGTTGGGAAGACGCCAGGAACAGAGATAATTCACGATTTGCTTCCAACAACTTGCTGCACGCAGGTTGCCTTTTTATTAATGAAGGGAATCAGGGCCCTTTCCTCCCCCATAAGCCACCCAACCCACGTTGCTCCCTTCTCCATTCCTCCCTGCATGCCCTAGGATGAAGAGGGGTTTGGGCCTGGGTCTTCCTCTGAATGCCCTTTCTCTTGTTCTACCTCTCCCCTACTCTGCCCAGCCAAACTGTGCCCTTCCCCAGTTGCTTCCAAAGCCAACAGACTCCTACTCCGTCAGCTGCTTCCCCCTCAGAGTTTGATTCCGACAGGGGCATGCCACATCCACTTATAACAGTCCCTTTAGCAACCAAAGTTACAACACACTGAAAAAAAAAGGGACTTAGGACTGTTTTTCACACTTACAACTGCTACAGTATCCCCATTGTCATGGGTTAAAAATTCAACCATTTGGCAACCAACTCTTATTTATGATGGTCACAACATCCCAGGGTCACATGATCCCCCTTTTGCATCTTTACAGCTGTGCCACTAATTTAACAATTGCTGTGACTTGCTTAACGACTAGGTCGTAAAATGGGGTCAACGCTCCCTGAACAACTGCAGAAATCTTGGGGTAAATTTGGGTCCTGTGCTTAATCAGATAAATGGCCTAGATATTAAGACATAAAACCGGAGTGGTACAGTGGCCTAGAGGTGGAGCTCTCACCTCACAATCAGGAGGCTGCGAGTTCGATCCCAGGTAGAGGCTGATATTTCTCTCTCTGGGCACGATGAGGATATATCTGCCAAATATAACTCCACCCTGGTGATAGGAAGGGCATCCAGCCAGTAAACACTATGCTAGCTCCATTCAGTTGCCCAGATTCCGACCCACAAGGGATTATGGGGTTGTTAAGATATTAATACATAGGATCTCGAGAAGCAATGTTATTTCAAAACTCAACCTGCAACTCTTATAACTTTAGTTCCTGCCCACTTGCAAAACCAATAGCATCCTTCCATCCTATGCATGCCATAGTATTATATGCTCCTTTTAGCCATGTGCTGTATGCCTTACAATTTATAAAGCACTAATCACCTTGGAGAAGGTATTGACGTCTTAAATTTGTTCTCTGAAGCTCCTGAATCCAGATTTTATCCCCCCCCCCCCAGGCTATATTTATTTTATATTGCCACCTATTCGCCCTTGGCAACTTGAGGCAGCTTACACAATGTAAAACCATATTTAAAACAAAACCAAAAATAAAAACCAAAAAAAATCAAATCAATTAGTAAAGTACAATAGAACAAAATTTGGAAAAAAATTAAAAAAAAAATACAGCCCCTTCAGGCATTGATTCTGAGAGGATTTTTGTTTCCAATTTACATTCTATGAGTTCGTACAATAGTTTAGTCCTCCCTCCACAACTCTTCCACTTTCTCCCGTGGCCCCTTCCAATGAAATGTCTCTGGAGAACCTCCCCGCAAATTTTGTTGGGCTTCCCTTTCGCTTCTCTTGCATCACAACTGTTGACGCTCTGCAATTGCACAAGTTATTTCATTTCAGTGAGGTGAACTGCAATTAGGACTTCTAAAAACGGGCACAGAAGCAGCGAGCTTTGCAAAGACAATCGTACGTTATTCCCCTCCTGGGTCCCGCTAATTCATTGGCACTAATTTTCGTATCCCTTTTAAAATCCTCATATGGTTTCCTACTACTGAGACACAAAACAACACAAAAGCAGGCATTTCCAAATGTGGCCCCTTTAAGACTGGTGGACTTCAACTCCCAGAATTCCCCCAAGCCAGCTTTGCTAAGACTTCAACTCTCTATGCCTGCTTACTCTAGTCATCAGTTCCTCTGCAATCTTTCCACTCTAGGGATTTGGAGGGGGAAAATAACAAGCATGGTTGAATGGGGAATTCTGGGAGTTGAAGTCCACCCATCTTAAAGGGACCATACCTGAAATAAACTTTTCCCCCCAATTTCCAGTAAATTTTGATAACATCTGGATTACCAAGATTTCGAAGCCAGCAGCCCACAAACTACGGCTTAAAAAAAAACCTCCCAATGTATCTAAGGTTTATTGGCAGCCCCAAATTGCCAGCTCTGGTGAGTATTGAACTCCCCGATATTTAACTGGGATTAAACCAACCAGAAGTAACCAAGGAGTTGCTCGCCATCTGCTCCATGGAAGACACAGAAGGTTTAAGCTATGTTCTGGGAAACAAGCCGGCTTAGCAACATCTAAGGTTGGGGGGGGCAAACAAGCTGTTAATAATCCCAATACAGCTTCCACGCCAGCTGTACTGCCCAGCTCAGCTGGGGGGTGGGGAAGAGTAAGAACTACCCTTCCCAAGATGCAACCGGGTGCTTTCAAAGCCCTGCCCAAGCCTGCCCAGGCTGGCTTTGGGGCAAAGGGGGTGGTGGAGACTGCCTACATTTCCCAGCATGCACTGCATGGCTGCCTCGGCCCTGAAATGGCTTCAGAGGAGGCTGGGAGTTGCAGTTCCTGATGGGGAAGCTTTCCAAAAAAGCAGCATGGGAAAGGAGGAGAGAAGGGAGAGAGCCCTTCCCTGGGGCAGAGGGGCTTCCAGTGCTTTTTTTTTGGGGGGGGGGGGATATCTATTTAACCCAAGTAGGAAGCAGATTGCTTGCTTTCCCATGCATGCAGACTTCAATCGCATGCAGATGTGATTTAGAAGGGGCAATCTCTTTCCGACCCCTCCCTCCCTCCCAAAAATAAGAAACTACACCCCCCCACACACACACAATTACTCACCTCTGTGGAGGAGGGGATGTAGCCGGCATAAGCCAGGACAAAGCTGCAAAATTTGTTGAAGTCCTCGATGGTGCGTTGCCGCTTTTCTTGAGGCTGGTAAGGAAAATATTTTTTTGGGGGGGGGGGGACACGAGGAAAAGGATGTTAGAGGACTTGCATGCAAAAGGAGGCACCCCTCCCCCCATTCCTCCCCCACCTGCCTTGCTCTTTCAGGGGATGGGTCTCCAAAGTGAGGGGGGCATGCATGCACTGCTTGGAAAGCCCCCCCTTTTTTCTCCATGTGCTCCTTCCATCCAACCCCCCCCCCCCAAAATAGGCAGGTAGGGTGGGTAGAGAGACTATGGGGTTGCTTCCCACGCGGAGCACATGCTGCTATCTTGTAAGTTTGGAGGGGGAGAGGAGGGAGGGAGGGAGGAAGCCCCCCCACCTTCCAACAACACCCTGAGAGCAGAGAACCCCCCCTCCACACCCATGAGGAAGGGAACCCCCTCCCCACCCCAAAACTTTTTTCCTTCCTCCCCCTTTCCCACGTCTCCCACTTTACCTGTGTCTCGGCTTTGAGGCTCAGAGAGGTATCTGGAGAAAAAAAGGGGGTGGGGGAAGCCAGAACAAAAAAGAGGGTTATATTGAGAGGGGGGGTGAGGTTGGAAGGAGAGGCCTCTCTCGACTGCCCCCCCAATGCACTGCACCCCACCCCGAGAAAGGAACAAGGGGGGGGGGAGAGAAAAAGCACAGCACAAAGCTGAGGGAGAAGAGAGACCTCCCCCACAAAAACACATGCACCTCAAGGAGAAGCCAACCCTAGCATTGCGGGGAGGGGCTGCTGACCCCTGCTTTCCCCAGCCCTTCGCCCTTCCAGAGGAGGGGGAGCTGGCAAGAGACCCCCCACCCACCCAAAGCCGCCCCCCCACAGGTTTAAAGAGGGGAGGGGGCTCTAGAAAGCCCCACTCCAACCCGGTAAGAAGCGGCTCCTCCCTCCCCCCTTCCACCCGCGTGGGGGGAGACCCACCTCAAACCCCAGGTTTAAAGAGGGGAGGGGGCTTCCCTTAAGGCGCTCTAGAAAGCCCCCCCCCAGCCCGGTGAGAAGCGGCTTCTCCTCCCCAACTTCCCCCCCTTCCAGCCGCGTGGGGGGAGGCTGGAAGGAGACCCCCACAACCACCCCAAAGGTTCAAAGAGGGGAAGGGGCTTCTTTTAGGGCGCTCTACAAAGCCCCCCCAACCCCCTCACCCCGGGGGAGTGGCGGCTTCTCCCCCCTCCCCAACTCCCCCCAGTCGGTTTCCTCCTCAGCCGCCCCCCCTCTGGTGCCCCCATACCGGAGGGGGGTCTTCCCCGCGCCCCAAAGCAGCCCCCCATCTTTCGTTTCCCGCCCCTCAGACTGGCTGGCCTCTCCTTACCTTCGGGGCTCGGCTCCGCCATGGCCGGCCCCGGGGACTCGCCAAGCCACCGCTGGTCCCGTCCGGTGCCGCCGCCGCCCGCAAGCTCGGAGCGGCCGCCCCTCCCCTCGGCTCGGCGCATGCCCCGCCGCGGTGCATTTCGGGAGGTGGAGTCTCGCCAGCCGCAATGGGGTCCGGCCGCCACTACGGAGCCAGGGAGGCCGTGCGCGCCGCGCTTGCGTGGTTCCGTTACAAAGAAAGAAAAAACTCACTACCATTCTTTTCCCTCCTCCTCCCCGCGAGGCACGACGGGTAATATAGTCTCGGCCTTTTCGACCCGTAGGCAAGGCGCGGGGAAAAAGGCGCGCGGGAGAGAGGATCACGGGGGCTGTAGTCCCCAAGGCGAGAAGCCACGCGAGACAGGGGAAACCCCCCTCCCCCGCGCGCGTGGCGAGCGGCTTTCTTGACATGCTCAGGAGTTACCTTTACAGGGAGGTTCTGGGCGAGCGGAGGGGAAACAAAAAAATAAACCCCGGACATGCGTGTCGTCGTGTGAATGCAGCCACTGGCTCTGCAGCAGATTTTTTAAAAAAGACTTTTAAGTCTTTTTATTTTACCTTTTTTTTTGGCTAGCTGGATAATTGTCGGTCTTTGCCCGATTGGCTGGGTTGAGGTTTAACAGGTAGCAGATCATCAGAGTTAGAAGGGCCCTTGGAGGTCTAGTCCGTCCCCCCTACCAAAGCAGGAGGCTACACCATTTCTGACAGATGGCAATCCAACTCTTCTTGAAAGCCTCCAGGGATGAAGCTCCCACAATTTCTGAATTAACAGAATAACCACCGAGTTGGAAGGGACCCTTGGAGGTTATCCAGTCCAACCCCCCTCTGCCGCAGCAGAAGACCCTACACTATTTCTGACAGATGGCAGTTCAATCTCTTGAAAGTGATGAGTGATGAGGTTTGTTACTGAGAGAATAGTCACAAGAGCCAGACTAAGACGAAAAGATCAGAAACAGGATGGGGGGGGCAGATGAAACTTGCTAAGACAGGCAATTTGGGGTTCCTTGTCCTGGAGTAGGAGGTGGGTCTCCTGACTTGGCACCTTCCAAGACTTGTGGGACTTCCAACTCCCAGAATTCCCCTTTCAGAGCTGCCTGTTTCTTCCCCCCACCCCCTCTTCATAGCTTCCCAGAGTGGTGAGATCACAGAGGAAGGAATCACAAGAGAGTAAGCAGGCCAAGAAGAGTTGGAAGACCACAAGTTGCCTCTTTGAGCAGCCCAATGCAAGTCCTGGGAGGGGGAGTGCCCTTCACCTGCCAATCAAACCACATAGCCTTGGGGCACTGCTAAAAGCAACCTGCCAAGGTGACTCTTCTGCTGGTTGGCTTTCACCCTCTTTGCTCCATGTGCTAGAGAGCACAGCTTGGGAGGGAACCTGGTTTTGCACTGAACTCCCACTTTTTTCCTTTATTGAAAGCAACCACTCACAAACTCTGTGTGATCAGGCACCTCCTGATTTCTGGAAGGTTCTTAAGGCTTGACCCACCACCACCAAATCCCCTTCTAGGGCTGGAACAGAATGTGGGGGGAATTCCAATGGGTTGAGAAACACTGGACAGGGCATTCTTTCCATTCCTTTTCTCCCTTATTCAACTCCACTGTCCCAGATTGTTGCAATGTCCCTGCCGTATTAAAAACCTTGACAATAAAATAATTATCCAGAGTGCCACACGTTCTCCTTTTATACCTTTTTTTTTGGTTTTGTTTTAATTAGCATTCATTTCCCATCCCCGAGAACTCTGGTTACAGAAGTCTTGCCAGGTGAACGCACCTCCCGGATGAAAAGCAAAACTTTTTGCACATGGCAAAGGAAAAAAAAAGAAAATCAGAAAAAAATGAAAACAGGGAGGGATGGTTTTTTTGTTTTCTTTGTCACTTTTGGAGAGATATTCCAGATGACCTTTTTCAACAGAGGAAAAAAATGGAGAAAAGAAAGCAATCAAGCACAGAGGGGACAATGCAAGGGGGGAGGTATTTAATTTTAGCCACAACCACCTCAAAAAGAAAACCAAAAGAAAAGGAGGGAAGGAGTTAAAAGAGGAAGAGTGTTAAAGATTCATAGCCAGAAATTAAAGGGTGGGGGGGAGAGAGAAAAAGAACTCTCCATTTTCCTGGAGCAAAAAAAGAAAAACACCTTTTTTAACATAAAATTAACAAGTAACAATAGAAAGTGCAGGTCCCTTCAGGGCAAGATGCCCCTCAGTGGCAGCTGGTGGACTTTGTGGGTCTTACATGCTGCCATAAACGCTCTCATCGCTGTAGGCGATATAAAGGAAGAAATCCTCCTCATGATGTTCCTGAAATGGGGAGGGGGAGATGCTGTTAGATCAAAGCACTTTTAAGGGGAGGGGAGAAAGATCTCAGATCAAGCCACCCAACTACAATAAGATTTGTAAAATTTACACACTGCCTTATCTTGAAGACAAATGTGCCCCCTCAGCCCCCAAACAAATCACCTGTGTGACTAGCAGAGTTGAGGGATGGTCTGAAGCCCCTTCCCCAGAAACCCACCCCCTCAACAAATACACCTGCTGCCCTACTCTGTCCCAAAGACTACAGCTCCCATCAACCCTTCTCCCACCCAGAGTTGGATTTTATTGGGAAATTGACACAACCTAGCTAGTCAAAAATAGCAGGAAACAGTAAAATATCACAATAAGGGTTATTTACCCCTTTTATATGTTTTTGCTACCTTTTTATTGTCTGCACTTGTGTTATTATTCCTAATATTATGTTCCTAATATTATGTTCCTAATATTATATTATGTTTTGGAAGTACAGAGATTACTCTGCCATTTTGTTTTTTTTAATAAAACAATTTATTAATTTTAACAGTTAAAAACAGCCAACAATACATATACAAATAAATGAAAGAAAAAAAGAAGAAAAGAAAGAAAAGATTGAAAAGAAAGGAAAAAGAAAGAAAAAGAAGGAAAATTAAAAACATTCATATTTATTTTACAGTTTGCAAGATCTTTTTTTTTTATTATAGCCTTTGATTTATGTCATATATACACCTATTCTATACATATATCACTATCTCATTATCAGTTAAAACTTTTCTCTTATGCCTTATGATATATAATTTATCTATGATTAATCCAATTATACCAACAATTCCAACTATCATAATATTGTGAAGTATCTTTGTTTTTTAGTGCCAGAGTCAGTTTGTCCATTTCTGCGCATTTTGAAATTTTATCAATAATCACTTCATCTGGTGGAATTTGATGTTGTTTCCAGTATTGTGCAAAGGCTAATCTGGCCGCAGTTAATATATGTATTGTTATATATTTAGCTTTTTTGGAAATTTGTTTGTCAAAGATCCCTAGTAGGAAGGACTCTGGTTTATACTCGATCTGCTCTTTTGTAATTTCTTCCAACCAAGTTTGGATTTTCTTCCAATAATTTTGGGTTTCTGTGCATGTCCACCACATATGGAAAAAGGTTCCTTCTTTTTTCTTACATTTCCAACAATACGGATTCATGTTGGGGTGCATCTTCGCTAGCCTCGAAGGAGGAAGATGCCATCTATAAAACATTTTATAAAGATTTTCCTTGTATGCTACTGATTTTGTGATCTTATTCCTGCCCCAAACTTTTTCCCATTCTGCTAGTGTAATACTACGTCCTACATTCCGACTCCACGCAATCATATTCCCTTTTACAATTTCTTCTTCTAATTCTGTTTCTAGTAAATAATTGTAAAATTTTGTTATGCTTTTTTTGTCCGGTCCTAATAAAATCTTATCTAATTGTTGAAGTTTGTTGTTAATTCCAAATTCTTTCTTATCTTGTTTGTACCTACTTTGAATCTGAAGATAAACCCATTGATCAATTTTTAGTCCCTGGTCCTGAATTTCCTGCCTCGATTTCAAATTTCCTTGTGGGTCCAATAAGTCTTTATATTTAATCATTTTAGTAATTTCCAAATTGTTTGGGTGAATCATCGCCTCCATTGTTGAAATCCATATTGGTATTTTTATGTAATGTTTTTTCCGTATTTTCTTCCAAATTGTTAGTAGCGCGTCTCTAATTAAATGTCTATGAAAATATTTTTGACTGGTTTTCCCTATATCCCATAAGAATGCGTACCACCCCCTTTGTAAGTCGTGGCCTTCTAGAAATAATATTCTTTTATTAGTTAACTTCACCCAGTCCTTCAACCAAACTAATGAGGTGGCCATATGATATAACTCCCAGTTTGGGACTGCTAACCCTCCTCTGCTCTTTGTATCTTGCATTGCTTTTACATTTATTCTGGGTTTTTTTCCCTTGCCAAATAAATTTGAGGGTTGTTTTGTTGAGTTTTTCGAAGAACCTTTTGTGTAATTTAATTGGAATCGTTTGGAATAAATATAGAAATTTGGGGAGAATGTTCATTTTAATGGTGGCAATCCGGCCTAATAGTAAAATTTGAAGTTTACTCCATGATTCTAAATCTTTCTTTACCTGATGCAACAATTTGTCATAATTATTTTCTTTAAGTGACTTACAGTGTGGTGTTAGCCAAATTCCTAGATATTTCACTTTCTTTGTCACTTGTATTTCCATTGTTCCTTCTAATTCTATTTTCTGTTTTTCTGTTAAATTTTTGGTCATTAATTTAGTTTTTTTCTTATTTTAAGTCCTGCTACTGCTCCAAAATTCTCCAGTTCTTTCATCAATTTTAGTCCCCTATTGGTTCTTCAATAAAGAAGATCATATCGTCCGCAAATGCTTGCAATTTAAATTCCTCTTTCTTAACCGTTAATCCCTTTATATCTGGATTTTGCCTAATTCGCGTTAATGTTTCTAATGATAATATGAAGAGCAGTGGGGAGAGTGGGCAGCCGTCTCACTCCTTTTTCTATCTTTATTGGGCGGGTGTGTTCCCCGTTTATTATATTAGCTTGTTGTCATAGATAGTTGTTATAATATTTTCAAATTTGGTACCCAGATTCAAATTATAAATTTTTTGAATTAAAAATTGCCAATTCAGATTATCAAAAGCTTTCTCTGCATCTAAA